AAACAAACAAACAAAAAAAGGGATGGGGTTTCTCTATGTTGGTCAAGCTGGTCTTGAACTCCTGACCTCAGGTGATCCGCTCGCCTCGGCCTCCCAAAGTGCTGGGGTTACAGGCGTGAGCCACTGAGCCCGGCCCCCAGAACAATTTTTTAAAACTATGTACCAGAAATCTTTTAAAATTAGTTCATAGAGAGCAGCCTTATACTTTCAAATGACTTTATAGAATTCCCTTGCATGGAAATGCCGTATTTTACTTAAAACGATTTACATAATATATATAATTTAGGTAATATAAACCCTTTGGTGAACATACAGTCTAGTTCTACATTTTGACTGTTATAAATATGCTGCATTTATTTTATTTTATTTTTGAGATGGAGTTTCAAAACTGATCTTGTCACTCAGGCTGGAGTGCAACGGCATGACCTTGGCTCATTGTAACCTCCGCCTCTTGGGTTCAAACGATTCTCCTGCCTCAATCTCCTGAGTTGCTGGGATTACAGGCATGCACCACCATGCCTGGCTAATTGCTTGTATTCTTAGTAGAGACAGAGTTTCACCATGTTGTACAGGCTGGCCTCGAAATTCTGACCTCAGGTAACCTGCTTGCCTTGGCCTCCCAAAGTGCTGGGATTATAGGCATGAGCCACTGCGCCCCGCCTTAGTTTTTTTTTTTTTTTAAGTTTTTGTAGAGATGGGGGAGTTTTACTGTGTTACTACCTGAACGTAAATGCTATTTTCTTTTTCTTTTCTGTTTTTTTTTCTTTTCAGCCTCCTGACTGGCTGGATTACAGGCACTCAACACCACGCCTGGCTAATTTTTGTATATTTAGTAGAGACGGGGTTTCATCATGTTGGCCGGGTTGGTCTTGAACTTCTGACCTCAGGAGATCTGCCCATCTTGGCTTCCCAAAGTGCTGGGATTATAGGTGTGAGCCACCTTGCCTGGCTCTTACTGTCATTTTAATACCACTCTCCCTCAGGGTGACCAACCCATCCAATTTGTCTGGGACCATTCTGGTTTCAGCACTGAAAGTCCTGTGTTCCAAGAAACACCCACCTCTCCTCCATTCTGGGCAAACAGGGACTGCTGGTCAACCCGCACTCTTTGGTTATAAGTGAGGCTGAGTGTGTTTGCCCGTGGTCACAGAAAGAAGGGATCTTGGATGAGGAAGTATTACAGGATGATTTTTTTTTTTTTTTTTTTTTTNTTGTTAAAAACACTTTTTTTTTTTTTTAAAGAGATGAGGTCTTGCTGTATTGCACAGGCTGGTCCCTAACTCCTGGGCTCAAGTGACCTTCCCGCCTTGGCCCCCCCAAAGTGCTGGGACTACAGGTGTGGGCCTCTGTGCCTGGCCAGGACCAGATTTGATAGAGGAGGAAAAAGGGCTTGCACTTATAAGGTGCATGACGGCTTCAGCTCTCTGCAGAGTCTCAAGGAAGCTCTGACAACCTTAAGCAGAGGCCGTTTTACATGTGCAGACACAGTGGCATAGAGAGGTGAGGCGTGGCCAAGGCCACGTACCTGAGAAGAGACCGAGGCGGGATTTGAATCTCAGCCTGCATGTTGGAAATAGATGCTGAGTGCCGCAAAGAAAAAGCAGCACTGAGACAATGGATCTTTCAGCGACGCAATTTTTACTTCCTGGACTGCAGGAAGGGTACCTTCACTAGCCACCTTGCCACGAGAGTACAAAGAACAAAGGAAAACACACAAATGTATCCCTTATGCATTTGGGGTCGTCCTCACTGCTGTGTCTGATCTCCATTGGTTGGAGCCAGACCTCACAATTTAAACTAAAACCCGATTGGCTACCAGCTTAAAACTTTTCTAAGCAGGTCAAAGCAATGGAGAGCTGGGACATGCCTGTGAGCGCGTCCAGCACAGATATCCTGGTTAAAGTACAAGGACATAGAATGTACTAGGTGCCTGTAAGCATGGCATGTCTAACAGCTACATAGGATAGGGCTTAACAAAGTTATTAGCACACTTATTCTTTACCAAGAAAGGAAACTTGAAAAAGGAACTTCTCTGCTTGCCCCACCGCATGTCACCACGTGAGTCACTGGTAAGTAAGCGAGCATCCCTCCGCTTCTCTTGCAGGCCCCTGACTTGGGCCTCAGTGTCCCCGAAGATCATGATGGCGTATATGAACCCGGGGCCCCACTATTCCGTCAACACCTTGGCCCTCAGTGGCCCCAGTGTGGATCTGATGCACCAGGCCGTGCCCTACCCGAGTGAGTACATTTGTTTCTCTTGGCACCCCGGGCTGGCCCCATCTCTTGGAGGGCCTCTGGGGTCCCTTTGCCTGCAGGAAGAAGGCAGTCACGGGGGTGACCTTGGGGCCATACACCAGCTCTCTGGGTTCATTTGAAATGCGTCACCTGGGAATGTAGGAAAGCACGGATAGTCCTAGAAATTTAGGATAGAGGTTCCTTTTGGGGTGGGGAGGAGGGGATGCAATCTGGAAGGGAAATCGAGGAATTTCATCTGTTAGCGACACTTTATTATTCATTTATGTTTCAGAGACAGGGTCTCACTCTGTCTTCTAGGCTGGAGTGCAGTGGTGTGACCATGGCTCCCCACAGCCTTGAACTCCTTGGCTCAAGGGATTCACCCACCTCAGCCTCCGGGGTAGCTGGGACTGCCGGGGTGGAAATTGAGACTAGGCAACAAACGTTTTTTTTATTTTTTTATTTTTTTTTTATTTTTGAGACAGGGTCTTGCTTTGTTGCGCTCTGTGAAGTACAATGGTGCAATCACGGCTCACTGCAGCCTCGAACTCCTGGGCTCAGGCCATGCTCTTGCCTCAGCCTCCCGAGTAGCCAGGACTATAGGTACATGCCACTACACCTGGCTCACTTTTCCAGTTGTTTGTAAATTGTGCGGGATCTGGATTAATAAAAAAGCATAGAAAAAAATTATTATATTTTTTTGTACAGATGGGGTCTCCCTGTGTTGCCCAAGCTGGTCTCAAACTCCTGGGTTCAAATAATCCAACTGCCTCAGCCTCCCACAGTGCTGGGATTACAGGCATGAGCCACTGCACCTGGCCTGCAAAGCCTTCTTTGTTTCTTTTTCCTTCCTTCTTTCCTTCCTTCCTTCCTTCCCTCCCTCCCTCCCTCCTTCCTTCCCTCCCTCCCTCCCTC